GGCGCTAAAAAGATATAGTGCCTCGAGCATGAGATAAACTCGCTACGCCAGTGTTCATTGTGTAGATGTTTTTATTTCAGAGTTGGTGTCGGCCGATGAAAATTAGTGACATTTTTTTACTTGAGCTGATTACGGACCAATACTGAAACGACTCTTTTGCATTTCGTCTTTTACGTCAAAAAATATAAGAAGCTAGACACTGTTTAGTTAAACACTTTTGTAACTCTTTATACGACGCTGTTGATATTATGGACGTCGACGTAATTACATATTTCACCACATTTAGAATTTACACGCATAATTTCCTGAGCAAACGAACATTTTTTTATACAATAAGGGGGCAATCTAACAAGCGGCCACCTAGATTCGCCAAAATGGGGAAGCGACCGCTGCCCTGAGGTTCTTCCAGTAGGTGGAGGATCGGATGAGGGTTTTTTATTAATTTTGTAAACAACAAAGTGGTTATTGTAAGAAAACTATTAAAGATAGATTTATGCTATCGCAGACTTTTCTGTAGAACGTTTTGAGATCTACATTTCTTTCATACATCATTTTTATATACCTCTAACGGTTTAGGCAGCGTAAGCCGAGAAAAGTTAAGGTTTAGTCAATTTTTAATGTCGGCGTTCAGAAACACGCTGTTTATTAATAGTTCCTAAATTTTAGGAATAATAAAATATAGCCTATGTTACTCACAGATAAATTACGTTTCTGATGGTGCAAAAAAAAATTAAAATCGGCCCAGTACTTTTTGATTTATTATAGTATAGATATATGTAGATTAGTACAGTGTGTTTTGAAATCGTAGTGTTCCTTTTTATTTCCGAAGTAACATTTATTACATTTGTTCCAGTAATTAGTTATATAGGCAAGATACCCCCCCCCCCCTCACTACGACACTCAAGTTTATATACAAATGAAAGATGCTGCGAGTGGATATGTCTGATGGGAAATTGATCTGCACTGTATTGTTAAAGCAGATTTACAGAGGGTAGTACATGCTTTTTTGTTGCTACGTTCGTGTAACAAACGTTTGAAAAAAGATTGACGCAAAACATTAATATAATATTCAAGGCTAGCTCGAACAAAAAACCGGAGCATGTCTGAGTACATGCAAATTGAGACACGGGTCTGATACAATCTGCACTCGCCGTATAAACAATGTCAAATGCGAATAAATTGTCTATGTCTTGCTCCTACCTACATTTTCTTTTTACAGAGCAATACTTGTTATTCAGGGTTCTCAATGACACCGGAAAATGAATACAATATTTTATGATAACTAATGTGCATGTTGATGATGGCAGGGGTTCGACTCTAGGTATAGAACATCAAGTATCAAGTAAGGCGTACACTGAGAGTCGCTCGAACTGATACACCTTTTAAATTTGCAGGCGCAAAACACACCTCGAGCGGCGATGAAACTCCACCATTCCCTCAAGAAGAATTAGAAAAACAATTCTGTAAACATGAGGAGAGGCTCCAAAAAGTAAATATAACTTTTTAATTCTAGGATTGTGAACACGAATAAAAACAATAATAAATAGACTTGTATCCCGCGACTAGACTTGTGTCGTTTCAACCGGGACTTGGACGGGAGAAAGCTTTAATTGAGTTGCGGATGTTGGTTAAGTTGGGAAATTACTGACGGTTGTTTTATGAAAAAACTCGTTGACTCCAAGGTGTGAATAAAAGCAAACAATTTTCAATATTAGGTCTTTACCTATGAAATTTTGTATGAATTATAACATTTTAACGTTTTTTTACGCATTTTTTTTGTATTAATCGAAGTGACCACCTCTTTTTGACCGACTTCCCAAAAGAAGGAGGTACTCAATTCGTCTGTATGTTTTTTTTTTTTAATTTTTTTATGTGTGTTACGGAACAACTCCGCCGCTAGTGGACCGATTTTGATAATTACTTTTTTATCCGAAAGGTAATGCTTGCAGGTGGGTCCCATTTTTTTGTTTGATTTTTGGAGTTAAAGACTACGACGTAGTTAAATAGTTTAGCTCAAAATCGCGCGACGAAATTTCGGGTCATTTTTGCTTTCTTTGCTTACGTAGCCTAAACTATAAGACTTACATAAAAATGATGTATGGAAGAACTGTAGCCCATTAAATTTGCTAAATAAAAGTCTGCGATAGCATACTTGTATATCTATTTATTAAGGTAGTCGCATGATAACCACTTTTTTCATAAAAATATCGCTCGAAATCTATACCCCACTTTCAACGCTATTACTCGTGTTCGGTATGAATCCTTATCCAAATAAATATGTCCATCATCAAGAGAATTTAATGTAGCTTATACATGCCCTTGGAACTATATAATTCCGATCAATAGTTTAGGAGATATCATAAAAAGCAAATTACAAGTCGCAGAAAAATATACCAACTTGTAACAAAGTTTGCTTTCTTGGCTTACGTAGCCTAAACTATAAGACCTACATAAAAATGATGTATGAAAGAATTGTAGCTCTTTCAATTGGCTAAATTAAAGCCCGCGATGGCATATATCTATCTCTTAAGGTTGTCGCACAATAACCATTTGTTTCGCGAAAACCGTCAAATAAATGTAATCAACTTTATTTAAAACGCTTTTATTCTTATTTGGTATGAATCCTTATCCAAATAAATATGTTTTCACGATAGAGTATGAAATGTAGATCATAATTGCCTTTTCCAGTATGTAATTCTGACCAAGATTCTAGAAGTTATCAAAATATTAAAACTCACGGGCAACAGCGGCGCGCGGCTGGATAGAATTATGAGTGATAGTCGCAACGGTGTATTAGTTCTTTACTTAATTTCGTAGATAGCTCATACTTTGTTTGAAAGCTAGTGATTATCATACTGCGATGTTTAGATTCACTAAAAATCGAGAAATAAATATACTTTTTAATAAAAAAACAAAACCGGCTTCCAAACAAATTTTTTCTCAAAATATCAGTACACTAAAAAGTAACGAAATAATTCCTTGAAAATAGTAAACCTCCCTTATTGTACTCGTGGCTGTTATGTTCATATTGTACAGTTAAACGCTACAATACTTTCAATTGTAATTGTAATAATAAAAATGTAGAAAGCCTTACGTAGAAATATCACTGCATACCTCGGCTGACACCGACATCAAAGTAATAATAATTGAGTTTTTTTGAGAATATTTTGCTTTTTTTACTAAACCTTTAATGTAATTTCTAAACAGGAAAAAAATAGTCAAGCTCGAGAAGACGAAGAGGTGCGTCAGTTAGACAAAAGTCTGTTGTACCAGCGCGCCATTGGGGCCGAGGAAGACCACCAGCGAAAGGTGTCTTGCCACTAATTCTCTAATTTTAAAACCATAGCCCTGTTTACAAAATAACTATAATATTATTTCAACTCTAAGCTAATATTGCATGTTATACAACAATACGAAATTCTACCGACTACGAGAGGTCCAAAGAAACGAATAGAAGCCGCTCCCTCCTGAATATTACAATTGTTTGAAAAAGCTTTGAGATGCAAAAACATTGAGTATTTACTTTTCACAGATAAAGTTATCCAAAGCGCGCTCCCTGCAGGAGGCCGACGAAATTGATTCAGAGAATCCAATCAGCCTAAATATCAGTAAGTCTTTCTATGCTATGAAATCAATTGACTTTACTTACTTAATCTTTTATTTATGCATCCATGTACTTACTCTGAAACCGCGCCCGACATAGTAATAATTTACAATATAACCGTAATACATAATACAAGTAATAAGAGAGTTCTGTCTTTCGAAGTTATTTATAAAATTATTAGCATGCTCTTAACTGCTCAAAAGTCCGAAAGTCGATTTCTTTTGTTTGTAAAGTTTTTGATCTATGGAAAAATTAATCAAAGGCAGTGCTGGGAATCAAGGTACAAGTGACACTTCAACGGACTAGTAGCAAAACGAATCGCAACAAAATGTTACTTGAACTTCTACGGGCAGGTTTTCAAATTGGCCGAATACAGTTAGTTAACACTTCGCTTGTAATGCTTCAAGTATGAATTTTTGTTGCGATTCGTTTTGCTACTTGTCTATTGCAATTTTGCAAGTTACTATATATTATTTGAGTTAGGTAAATGCTTATCAATTTGCAGATACTTCAATGGAAAGTTACGACGCCACTACGGAGGATTCGAGCTATGAAAACGACGATAATACAAATAAAACATCCACTAAACGCATTTTACGAAAAAGTTTTCCTACTTCCCCAAAGTAAGTAGATACTAGTACAAACATTATGACAAAGTGTATTAAATCATTCGTTTTAAATGTTAATGAATGATGATGTCATCATTAAGAAGGGTGTGCTGCAGGGATGTCTTAACCCCTATGAGTGCCCGCGTTCGACGACTGACGTTTCGTATCGCATCACCGAACTGTGCAACCTTCACACCCTAAATTTGTTTCGGCAGACGGTTTGGCCAAAAACATGTATTCCGTGTATGTCCCCGATGTAAAGTCATTTTTATTCTTATGTCTATATCTTACGTTGATAAATTATTGATAAATTAGTAAAGTAAGTACTCATAATAAATGCAATGCGGGCGGCTCGGCGGCCCGGCGGCTCTGCCGCCCGGTGGTGCAGCCACCGATCGGTAGCACGGGGGTGGCTGGTTGCCTCACCCCCCACCGATTGGAGAAGATATGCACCCTAGTCTAACCTAGATAGAGCGGAGTGCGGGTGCGGAGGACGCACGGGGCTAGGCGCACGTAGGCCAGGTAGAAATGTTGCGCAATAAGCGGGCTGCTGCATCGATCGAACCTGCGGCGCCGACGCGACGGCGCCCGGCGCCCGGAGCCCTGCCTCGCCCACCGCCGCGGCCGCGGCCGAGCTGCACGGGACAAAGCGGCGCAGCCAGCCAACGCCCTACCTACCTAACGAATTTAACTATTATAACTTTTCATTATGGTGTTATTTGGAGCTGTATGACTTACACGGTGCTCTTTTATATGACAAGGTGATTTTTCCACAAATGGAGTAATAAATATTTAACTATCCTGGTATCTAATAATAAACGAAGAAGCCAAAAAGTTAGACACCGAATTTTGTCTAGAATTAACAATATTCTCAGTAAGATATACATCAAATGCTGAATGACTTTTCGCTGTCGAATCGTGTAAAGTGATGATTATAATAACACCGATAATGTACATGTCCGAGTACTTCATATGTTCTTTAAAGTATCTCGATTCTCTACGTATGATAAGTCTGTATATGCCTATATTGAAGTGTTAGCTACATCTCTACTGTGGTTTCTAAGGGAGGGGAAAGCTCATGGTTTATAGGGAAATTCACACAACAAATAGAACTGGTTGCAAGGAGTCGTATGAACTTTCAGCCCCTCCAGACGTCATGTCTTATGATGCTTGTACCTGATGTAACTACTTGTTTATAAACACGCGGTAACCTTACACAAGGAGCTGACTGTCGGTATAATTACCATAACTACTCGTACACTAAAATTGAGTAACACCAAGTCAAATGATCAATATAACCATTGTCATCGCCATATTTATGCGCGTAATATGCACTACATCACTACATCCCCGAAAGACCACATTTTGCAATATGACAATGATGTCTATGCTATGAAATAATAAAATCTTTTCAGGTTATATAAGATATATTGGGTGCCACACCCAATAAGCAGTCTACGTGATGCCCTTTAGCCTGTGACCCCGCAGCCTCCCACGCTGCAACATTGATTTTCACGAGATGTGGTATGAGTAGGGGCGGTGGGGCGGTTTACTCCTCCCTGGCGACCGGCGGTAGTATGAGTGTGAGGGGCAAGCGATGACGCACTTGCGCCGAGGACTACAATATTGATTTATGGTACTTGGCTATGGGATAAACACGCAGCATCTAGAGCTAAATCCTAAAATAGTATACATCTAGGGGGGTTTGTTGGGTGTGGTAGCGTAGGCGGCTGGCGGTGGGTGGTGAAGGGTAGAAGCGGCGGCGCTTTACGTGACCTGGGGGCGAGGATGCGCGCGCAATTCCTTTGTTCGCTTGCCTATGAGGTACCGGGCGGCGGCCGCCTCGGCGCAGTCAGGGTCCGCCAGTGCTCCGCTCCGGACCAATGTTGAGTACGTAGACGCCTGCTTAAACCTCGGTGAGTCTTCGGCCGCGAAATAAACGTTTTAAATTCTACTCTATCTTGTCGCGTTAGAATTCAGTGCTTAGATGTTTCTCCCGGTGTCGATCACAGATTCCTAGCTGACTAGGTGTTAGCATTAGGGCATGCATGCTTATCTATGTATACCTACTGTCCTTAAGTGTTTCAAATTGAACCTGCTATATCCTTTTCCATGGGGTTTGTGCGCGTGCGGAGAAGTGTCATCGTTTCTCTGCGCCACGGATGTGCGTAGGGAGATAAGATGCCGTTACTAAGCGTAGGAGCGGAATGAGGCGGAACGAGATGCAGGGCAAAGAGAGCGGCCGAGAGAGCGTGAGCGTGGTCATGTCTCGCAGCGAGTCCTCGATGGGGCGGTGCACGCCGCACACGCCGCGAACGCCGCTCGGACTACCGGACAGCGTCAGCGTTGACTCCAATCCAATGCCCACGATATATCGGTAACTGACCCATAAGGAAGGTCGTCTAGGGAGAAGACGTAATATCGATCGGGGCGCAACGCACCTCAGTGGGAATGTGGATCTATACATGTATCGAGGCTTCAACAGAAGTGCGCTGCGTCCTTTGTCGAGACAAGAGCCGAGCGAATGCCCGCGGTAACGACGCTGGAGCCACTAAGTTGAGAGCTCCGGTTCTTAGTCAGTATGTCTTCTCCCGAGGACGAGTACAGCTGAGCACTTCGCTGCATCGCGCACCGTGATCGTCGCATGCGAGTAGCAACCACGGCCCCGTATCTCGACGCATTGTCAAGTGCCATCGACGTATGTACAGGATATTACATTATTCTTTGATACTTCGCAACAGCTTGAGATACGAGTATAGTCCGACCGCTTGGCTTGCCTCATGCAGCTCGGTGCCGTCGCCCGGAGCTAAGGTACGGTAATCCTTGAGTACCCCATGACGCACATTGACGATTCACTTTTCCGCCTCATACCTACATACATCCTTCACCCTAGAATCTCTGGCAAGCTTGTACATTGTGTCCGCTTTATTAAATCTGTCCATATTACCTTTTCTCAATACTATCGCCTTGTGAATTTTGGTCAAATATAAATAACATTGTAAAAATGTTGTCATGAAGGCATTTACGGAAAGGCACGATTTAAAGGTGCTGACTCATTCCAAGATGGCCGACTTATTCCAAGATGGCCGACTCATTCCAAGATGGCCGACTCATTCCAAGATGGCCGACTCATGCCAAGATGGCCGACTTATTCCAAGATGGCGGACAGACTCAAAGATGAGTTGGCAGACTTTTTCATAAATGCCTTCGTGACGAATTCGTTTGTTAGTAATAGGGTCTACAGTCAATGTCATTATGTTTATTGTAGATAACAGCTTTTGTTACACCAAATGAAATGCCAACATATCTCGAATTGGAGACTCGAATGATTCAATAAAAGCTATACTACATTAGTGATACCATGTTAAGCCTTGCAGTCGTTAAAGCTACCACCTCAATACATTTAGCAGATTTTTTGATAGAAAATGAAAATAGAAGTAGACTTTAACTTAGAGCCACATATTATAGACAATAACTAGTTTAATGGTTTATAGTTGCATAACATGTTCATATAGATTTTATTTTTGTTATGAATCGGCCCGAATAGATTACTTTACAAAAATATTTAGTACGTTCTGTTCGATTTTTAAACATGGCTTAAGTGCCTTCATATTCTGGGATATTGCGTAATGGTGCGGTATTCTCATGTATCGTAGCAGGCCATACAAATTAAGATGGCGGCTGGCGCGCATGCGCGGTTTTCGTCGCTTGCTGTTATCGATCTCAAAATGGCGTACTGCGCAGAAGCGCCATCTCCTTGAGATAGAACAACATGTAGAACAATCCTTAATTATCTTAGCAATCCAGAAGACAAAACGAAATTTATTATTTTAGAAACAATCACTGTTGCTTACAGTTTGATTATTTCAATATATTTCTATTTAATAGTATAATAGTATAATGTGAGAAGGCTATGTCAGATTTGCAAAGTCTGTGGGTTGATGTTCATCGGTAAGTTAATTGGAATCAAGATGCAAACGCGGCCCGGCCAGGCCAGTAAGTTTCGTTTATTACTTTACAAAATATATTAAGTACGTTATGTTCGATTGACTTCGTATTGTGGGATGTTGCGTAATGGTGCGGTACTCTCATGTAGCGGAGCAGACCATCCAAATTAAAATGGCGGCTGGCGCGCATGCGCAATTCTCTTTGCTTGCTGCTATCGATCTTAAAAATGGCGTCCTGCGCAGAAGCCCTAACTTTTCGATATAGAACATGTTCTGGAACATTCCTTAATTATCTTAGCAATTCAGAAAATAAAATAAAGACGTTCTAGAAACAATTACTGTTGCTAACGGTTCCACTAATTCAAGATATTTCTATAATGCGAGACTGTAGTTATTTTATATCTATATGTAAATGGTAGATCTCTGGGTTACAGTTACGGGACACTTGTATGACTATAATAGAAGTAAATTAATTTTTATTTGTCAAATGTCATGCTTTTTTGAAAAAGATTACTTATTTATGTAAAATCAAAATCATTTGAATTACAATTTCAGTATAAACAATATATAAAAACAATGACCTATTAGCATTTTCAAGAATATTGATTTTGCGGTCTCTAGAATATTATGCAAATTAATAATCAATTTTATTGTTTCAATTTCGTAAACTTTTATCATTAATTTGGATAAGAAACTTGTTTTAAATATGTTTTTTTAATGTTCAGGAAATCGCTTTTTTTTTGCGACTTTTTCCATTTGGGTTCTATGTAAAGCTGATTACGTTCTTATAATACCGTCAGTAATGGTTACCCAGTCCTATCTTACTAAAAACGCATTTTTTTCCTTCCTTTTAATCTACAAAAGACTTTTACAATATTTAAGTAACAAAGCAATGAAAGTTCAACAAACAATCTATTTAATATTTGTGTTAATATTTTTACTTGGGAGATTTCTTAAAATACTTTACTTTTTCCATTAAGAAACAGGATACCCTGTGTATTTTGGATGGAGCGAAACTGTACCTCGGGCTATGACCCTAACTGTATTTTCGTACAAGCTTTGAAACAGTTGTAGTCCACCAAAATAGTAATCGTTTCAATCATACTAATATTATAACTAAATGCGATAGTTTGGATGGATGGATGGATGTTTGTTACAGTTTGCAGTCTAAATGGTTGAACAGATAATCAAAAAGTTTTATTTCGTTCAAACTTTAACATATCGAAAAATGTCAGTTTCTTCACTCCCATCGGTTCATTCAGCCAGTACGCAAAATTATTAGTTGCCAGCAAGTTTAATCGTTCAAAAATTAACAATAATTTCGCCCCTATACTACCTTATTTAACACACACACGCGTATGCTACATAGTTAAATGTCGCATGTCACACAGTTCAACGCCACACAAGCTGATGCCACACAGGCTGATGCCACACAGTGCGATGCCGCACAGTGCGATGCCGCACAGGCCGGTGCCACACAGGCCGCTGCCACACATATCAATCGAATACCACTAAGTCGTATCCCACTCAATAGTGAACTACGTGATGTATCTCCACCGATCCCACTTCTGATGTCGGAGATAATTAAATAAAAATCGTGTAACATTAGAAACACTATCCTTAGTTGACCACCATATTATTTGATAACTTCTCAACACACTGTAATAGAATTGCAAACATTTACAGAGACTAACCAATTTTATAATAACAAATCGTATCAATGAATAGTGGAATTCAATGACTACTGTCATCGGTCATTCGATCGTTGCTCGACATCTGTCATGCACATTCAGCCAGTACTCAAAATTATTAATTGCCAGTTACTTTAATCGTTACATCTACGAGTATATCTATCTCTCTATCTATACATATAATAAAATTGGATTGATGTATTTGCGTTGCTGATAACGAAAATCGCATTTAAAAAATTTTGTCTGTCTGTGCTGCTTTTGTTCCGAGTAATCTCCGAAACGGATGGGTAGATTTAGACGGGACTTTCGCTGGAGAGTAGCTGACACAGACGGGCATATTATAGGCTACATATTTTTTTAATTCCCCGATGTCAAAATGGCGTAATTCTTGGTCAAATTTGCGCTAACGACGTTTGCGGACAAGTTTTTACTGCACGCATTTCGCACTTTTCTTCTTTGAATTCACTCATTTTTGCCTTTGTGTTACTTCAAAAGTTAAAACATTTTTTTTTAGATTTCTTCGAAAAAAATTATTTGTTATTTTTTAAGTTGTTGCCTTCGACTATTTAAAATTGTTGTTTTCACATGAAAAACAACCGAAAAGCGACACTTTTTTTTAGATTTATTCTATAGAAATGGGCGTAGTTTTTGAAAAAAACGGGTAGGAAAAAGTTCGCGTGAAAGTAAATAATAACATCTTCTCAAATTTACAGAAAGAAATTTCATTTTAAGAAAACTTTCAATGATTTTTTTTGTTTTGTTCTCCCGTGAATTATTCCAAAAAGAGATATCTGTACGAAATTTCAATTATTTGGCTTGTTCAAGAAATGAAATGTCCGTTTTGGACACATTATTTCGGACTTACGAACAAATCTTATCCGGAAATCTGATTTTTACGAATTTTTACAAAACAATGAGTGACATTCAAATTTTAGAAAAATATTCCACGATATCTATTGAGGTCCTCAACTCCACAAAGCCGTTGATGCGTGCAATCAGAAACATCCTGTATTTTTATTATAGTAATCTAATCTAATCAACACAAATCAACAAAAAATAATTGATGTATCTTAGATATAAATATTACCGAACAGGATCGATATTAAGGTGTTATAGGTAAGTATGTACTGATATGTACAAGTCTCTATGATTGCAATTGGCAAGATCAATTTTTGCTCGTTATAGCTGATTTTTTTGATGATGAGCGGGAGATTGACTCAATTAATTGACTTAAGGTTAGGTTGTGTGCTAGCCATGTGAGTGATGCTAGGTGAAATTAGACATGTAACTACATACTTGGTGAGTGTGTAGATATTGCTAAGCGATATTATTGCTTGTCATACAGATGCCGCGCCCCCATTGCCTCGCTGGATTGTATGGATGATTTCAGTTCTAATTCACAGCAAATGTTAGATCAAGGCAAGTGCATAATACATAATACATAATACATATATTTAACTAAAACAAAGTATAGTGTTAGAGTAGCCAGCTGCATTAGCCGCTGCATCAGTGAACCAAATGAATTGACCGGTGCTATACCACGACCTCATAGAAGTCAGGCGCCTAGGAGTCAGGGAGTGAACGGAGCGAGGGGTCTATAAGGAACCGATTTATGTCGTCATCGTCGTGCATCGGTGACTCTGGGGTTTTTGCACTTGACTTGTAATCTGCAAGTCTTGGATTCGTATCCCGCTACGTACGAATGTGGTTATCAAATCTTATTTAACTATACATAAATTAACCGCCGTTCTTGGGGAGAAGTAAAATATCTAACTTGCCCACATCTACGAAGAACTTCAAAGATACGCATGAAGTCAACCAACCCGCAGTGGGCCAGCGTGGTTGATTATGGCCTAGTCCCCCTCTCACTTAGGTACTATTAGGTACTACGAGGCTACGAGTCCCTCAATGAGACGTATAGTGAGCTGTTGACGATTAGCAGGCAGTTGACTAATACAGCGATAACGCGACCACTGTCTTGTGTTCTGCTTCGTCCAGTAAACATTCAGGCCATACCTCAACAAAGTATATACGAGTATATATATGTATTTATGTATATTTGATCAGTATACAAACGTATGAGTTTTCACTTGTTTAGTTTTAGAATTGTCAGAATCCAGAAAGATGTCGACATACATGGCGAGTCACAGCCCGGCGAATCTGCCCTCGGCAGTGACGGCCGGGCTGCGCTACAGGAACCTCGGCAAGTCAGGCCTCCGCGTGCCCAACATTGGCCTCGGATTGTGGAGCAGCATCGACGAGGACACCACCGAGGACATCGTCACCGTCGCGCTGGAGAACGGCATCAACCTCTTTGATTTGTCGGAGGCGCATAACGGTAACATATGGCAATGGACAGTTATCAAAAGCCTCATGAGTCGCGAGTCAGACCTTAGGCCACGAAATCCAATGCACTGTTTATATTTAAACAAAAATATTTTAAAACAGATGGCTTTGACACCCTTTAGCTGTTATGGATACACAAGGACCATAGTTACACAAAATGCCTGTTCGTGGCGTAGAATGTTCTATGTTAATTTAATATGTATTGATTTTTCTTTCACAACTTGTTAAACAAATATTACTTTTAGCTAAAGGCGAGGCTGAATTAGGAAGAATCCTCAAGAAGAACAACGTGAGGAGAACCAGTGTCATCATAATAACTAAAATATACTGGAGTACCAAGTGAGTATCGTAGGTGCTTCTGTCAATGGTAATCACTAACTGTGCTGTCTCATACGAGTATGCAGTTCCCAGCTTCTGTCGCCGCGACGTTAACAGTTGCAGCACATGCTATGAGGTCACATCGTTACATATCTTTGATCGTAATTGACTACATATAGGTATTAGAGTTTCAGTGTAACCGTTTGCAACTATATTTTAGTTCGGACGAGCGCGGCTTGTCGCGACGGCACATCGTCGAGAGCGTTAAGGCGTCCCTCAACCGCCTGCAAACTGAATACATCGATGTGGTTTTATTGCACAAAGCGGACCCTGTCTGCCCGATGTCAGGTACTGAGTTTACTGAAACATTGGTTTCTTTTTTCTACATCATAAACAGGAGCAGTATTTGAAAATGGCAAATTTTCTAATTTATAACCATTAACATTATAAATAAAATGCCGATATGATTAGAATGGCCCTATTGAATGTTTGTTGTGCCTTTATCTGTGCAGAGCTAGTGCGAGCCATGAACCACGTAATCAACCAGGGCTGGGTCATGTACTGGGGCACCGCTCGCTGGTCTCCCTCCGAGGTATTTTTATATAAATATACATTATTACATTATGCTATAGGTAGGTAGTGTATTGAGAAGATGATGATGATGATGGCTACGAGATTAGCTTCACCTGCTTCCGACCGGCTCGAGTCCTCCGTCCTAAGCTGTGCCGATTTGTTTTGCATTTTCATTCTACGTTTTCCTATATATAATCATTAGTGATTGTCAGTAGATATTAGTGCTTTTACTAGGTTTGCCGGACTGTGTGTTTGATCAATCACGATGTCTCCGTGAAATTTACCAATTCTTGCATTTTGCATCTATTTCTTGTTTTCACTTTCAATGTTAGTCGCTAGCGTTAATATGTCGTATTCTTCTAATGACTATCTTAATATTTATAAAATATCGTCATATTATTGTTGCGATCGTTTCCTATTCCTATCATTATATTTGCTCTCGCGAATAAGAATACATTGCGCATAAGGCAGTTGTTAGGTGGTGGACTACCACCAGGTGAGACCAGCAGAATGTCCATATCCATAAGTGTGTCGTGGTCCTGGCGCAGATAATGGAAGCGTACACGAACTGCAAGCACGCCAACTGCATCACGCCCATCGTGGAGCAGACGGAGTACAACATGTTCTGCAGAGACAAGCCGGAGCTGCACATGCCTGAGCTATACCACAAGATCGGCGTCGGTGAGTTTGTGTGCCCTTCCTGCCCACATCCCGTGTTACACCTACTCTCAGCCCCGGTATACAACAACTGTACATATTTTTTTAAGTTAATTACTTACTTTAACAAGTTATTTAGATACACTTTTTTAAATTAACTCTAACTACATTTTTTTCCATTAATTTCATTAGTTTCAACTTGCATTTATTCATATTCTACTTATAACACCATTTAATTTGGTACCCATGTTTGGGGGTTATGCAACAATATGTCGAGTCAAGTTTCTAAGACTGCTAGAAGTACCTTAGAATTATGATTACACGTGCGTTTCTGTAAAATGTGAAGATTTCAATTAACTATATTTCATAAACTACAAACTGTAATTATAAAACACTTCGTTTTTAAAACAAGGTAAATTATATCTATTTGTGTTAAAAATTTCTAGCTTCATCTATAACGAAGTTAGACGGGTTTTCATGTATTTTTAATGAAATTGTTGGAATTATAAAATAAATAAATCTGAATATTTTTCTGACTAAATTCCAAATTGCAAGTTTGTAGCACCATTGCAAGTGCCTTAAAATTATGATTGAACATGAAATTGCGTAAAAAAGTGAAGAATTCAACTAAGTAGCTATAAGTTGTAAACTACTGGATATAATTAAAAGGTATTTTGGACATGTAATGAATTCCAGTATATCTATTGATGTATAAAATGTCAACCTTCTATCTTAATCTACAACGAAGTTACAAGGGTGTCAAAAGTGCCCCGAAGCGCTTCAAGAAAGTAGTTTTTGGCCGTGCTCGCCGCGGCGGGTGCACTGCCGCCTGCC